CCCCGGCCGCGCGGCTCCCAGCCCCCTGCTGCCACCAAAAATGCATTCAGCATTTATTCCTGCCCTTCTTTCTGGCTTATTAATAGAATAAATCATATTGCCCAGCCTGCCCGGCCGTCCCAGTCTGGGGATTTTCAGGTCATATTGACTTTTTCCTCCTTCCTGTATCCTTATTCCTAGACATGAGCAAGATCTCTTTTTTTTTTTTTTTTTTTTTTTTTTCTTCCCTGAGATTTCCAAAGAGGCAGTTATTGGCGTCTCTGACATTCCTCACAAACACACACGTGGCTTCTGTAAATACCCGCGTCGCTGTCTCCCACCCCGGGGCTCAATGCGCCATTCATCTGCTCCCAGAGCTGTGCCTCGAAGTCGGGAATTACCTGCCCCGCTCTCTGCGCTAACGAGCTTTTCTAGCTCGGGTGCCTCCAGCGGCCCTTACGGTGGGATTTGCGTCTTCCCGGGTCTCCCTCCGGCCGCCTTTGCTGGGGGCTTCTCGCAAAATCTTGCGAGGAGCGGGGCCGTGGGACGGAGAGAGCCGACGCTTCGCGCCCCGCAAGGGAATTTCGGAGCGATGCTCCGCCATGCGCGAGAGCGTGGTGTGCCTCTGCCAACGCCCCCGGCCAAAAACCTTCGGAGATTTTTGCCAAAAAGAATGGGGGTTTGTTTCTTTTCTCCCCCAGGTGAGGTGGTCCCTTCTGCCCCAGGGACCCTTCTCCATCCTCCTCTACATAACATCCCTTTGGCTTCCTAAAAGGAGGAAAACGAGACTTGTAGCTGCTGAAAATTCCCAGTTGTCCTTTTTTCCCGGCTCCCCCCTGCGGGCGGGTTTGGCGGGAGGTCCCCATGCCAGCCCCACTGGTTTCCACAGCAGGTTCCAGCTTTGCCTCTGGCCGGCGCCGAACGCCTCCAATATTGACCTGGACCAGGTGGACTCAGACGGGGAGCGGACCCGGTGCCAGGAGACGGTTGGGGTCATCTCGATACGGCGCCTCGGTGGAGCCCTGCTGGCTCCCTGCTCGGTGGCCATGATCTCTGGCTCTCGGTGTAGAGCGAGGATGGGCCAACGACCTTCTCTTGGGCCACTGGGCCACCTCTCTCTGGGCTTCCGAGCCGGGTCCTCACCTCCCAGGGTGGAGGAGCTTCTCTCCGTGGAAGGTGGGTCCCCGAGCCGTGGGGTTCCATGCAGCCACTGGTTGGTGATGGAGGAGGTCTGGCTTCCAGAGCCCTGGTGGAGCTGCTCTTGCTTCTGGTGCGTTCCCACCATGGGCGAAGCGTTCCAGCCCAATCCTCCGCTCTGCGTGCAGCGGTTTTGGGGGCTGCAGACCCCCAATCCCTCGAGCGAAGGGCAGGACGCAGGCTGGAGGTCCCGACACCAGGAGGTCCCTCATAGGGATGGGTCTGGGTGACACCATCAGCCCAACGGCCACGCCTGGAGTAGCGCAATGTCCACGTCGATTGAGGGACCGCGCTGGCAGCACTGCGTGATGTCCCACTGCGGAGGGCACAGGCCGTGTGTCCCGGAGGTCTCCCCATCCCCAGGAGCTCCTCACCAACCCCCCTCAGCCATCCCACCCTCACCCCAAACCTAAAGCACATCCCCCCGAGCCCTCTCAGGCGCAGGAGGTGACACGGTGCCAACTGTCTGTCACTGTCCCACCCCCTCCATGCTGAATCCGTCCCAACTGCTAGGGGGGAAAAAAAAAAAGAAAAAAAAAAAAAAAAAGCCGTTTGGGGACAAAAATGCCCTTTGTGGGCTGCAGCGAGCGGCCGCGTGTTGCGATTGGCATCCGCATTGTTGGGTAAACTTTGTCCGGCCCGGCCGCCTCGCTGCCGGCGCTCCGGCGAAATAATTAGGCGAGTTCCTATAAAGCCGAGTCCCAGATTTACGGCGTGTGCGGACACAGCCGCCCTTGTGCCGGGGTGGAAGGGGAGGCGGGGGGGGCTTCCCTGGGCCCTGTGTACCCCAAAACCCGGGGTAAATGCCCCAAAACCCGGAGTAGATGCCCCAAAACCTGGGGCAGATGCCTCGGGGCGGGGGGTGTTGGACCATAAATCCCAAAAGCAACTGGGGAGAAGTTTCCGTCTGAGCTCTGGGTGGTTTTGGGGTGTCCCCCTAATGTGGGGGTGCTCAAGGCTTGGGCTTGGGGGGGGGAGATCCACTTTGGGTCATATTCTTGGCATTTAGGGACCTGGCGGGGGGTTAAGCCCTACGATCCTTGTGGCCCC